TACAACATTTTTTTTTTTTACATTTTAGTATATTTCAAAATGAAATTTATTCTTGTTACGACAAAGCTAATTTATTTTCAGTCTTCATTGTCACATGATCCTTCAGAAAACTTGGGCTGGTCAATATTTAACTGTGAAGCATTTTTATTCAGGTTTCATTGATGAATAGAAACGGTAAAAAGGTGGTAATTCATACATACACAGCCCCTCTCTCTCCCTCTCCCTCTCTCTCTCTCTCTCTCTCTCTCTCTTTCTCTCATAAATTAACACTTGATGAATTACACTTTTCTGAGAATAGAATATTGAAGTGGAGATCGCTAAACTGCAAGATAAAACTAAAGCTGGTGTTTTCAGAAAGCAAGCGCGTTTATCCACAGTGGCGAGAGAGTGCGCGTGCACATGGTTGCCAAGTCTTAGCAGATATTTCCATATTGCGCAAGTGGGAAGCTCTGTTTCGGGCATTCCGTCTCTTTATATCAGGCAACCCAGTTGTGTTCCTCTGCGGCCAGATTAAACCTTGTTATAACCTATAATGCTCTATTCATAATTTTTTTGAAACCTCGCACTTTTCTGCTCAATTTTAAAAGTTGTTCTTGTATTCAAATTAAGCTCGGTCCTCTGCTGCACACGTGCCAAAATATCGATTCAGGGCCAGCTGTATCGATACTCGTATCGTCAAATCTCTGTGACGATACATCGTCGTATCGAACACAGCACTAATATTAGGACACTTTAAAATACCATATGACCTGCTCTTTAAGCATTCAACCATTTCTGGAATTTTTGTGACTAATTTAAACGCGTCTCACAACTCATGCTGCGCTTTCCTACTGGTTTGTGCAGCTTTGTACAAATTGGCCTGGTTTATATTGTCAAAACCGGTTTGCACTCTGCTGTCCGTTGGGTAGTGCCGTTTCATCCCACCTTTGGAGTGTTTGCAGTTTACGCAACAAAATACTGCAGCACATAATCACAGAGTGGAGCAATTTTGTAGTTGACAATTGTTTCACACCGCCTGGAAAAGTGGTCACTTTTAGTGTCAGTCTTGGCACCCTCATATCTGTTGCTTTATTTTGTATAATTTAGAACTTTTTGGTGTAATGTTTGCTTAAATGTTGCTGTGTTGTCTTTCTTTCTGTCTATTTTTTTGAATATTTTATATGTTTATATGTACTTATTCATACTTTAAAAGTTTGGGGTCAATAAGATTTATGTTTTGTTTTTGTTTTTTTCACCAAAGCCACATTTATTTGATCAAAAACACAGTAAAACAGTTATATTGTGATTATTTATTACAATTTAAAAGAACTTTTCAACTTTAATATATTTTAATCACAGAGTGGAGCAATTTTGTAGTTGACAATTGTTTCACACCGCCTGGAAAAGTGGTCACTTTTAGTGTCAGTCTTGGCACCCTCATATCTGTTGCTTTATTTTGTATAATTTAGAACTTTTTGGTGTAATGTTTGCTTAAATGTTGCTGTGTTGTCTGTCTTTCTGTCTATTTTTTTGAATATTTTATATGTTTATATGTATTTATTCATACTTTAAAAGTTTGGGGTCAATAAGATTTATGTTTTGTTTTTGTTTTTTTCACCAAAGCCACATTTATTTGATCAAAAACACAGTAAAACAGTTATATTGTGATTTGACAAGATTAGATGTTTGTCAGTGGTGCTCAGAATCTGCAAATCATTCGCCATAGTCCTAAGTCATCTCTCCTAACTCTGTTTATGTGGTAAGTGAAATTAAGTACTGTAATGTAACAGGCAATCGTTAGCAAATGTTATTTGTTTTCCGTGCCTTTCTAAATATGGATTCACGCTTTGGGCACACCCCCTAACTCCCCCCTCTATTTCCACTAGAGAGCAATCACTCGGAGTACAGATTCATATAAGAATGTTTATTCAGCTCACTGCAGTTCATCTGAAGTTTAGAGTACAAACAAAACAAGAACATGTCATAGGTTATGAGCAGGAGACAGGTAAAGCAGTGAAAGGCATTTTTGAAAAGTTTCCTTTGAATTTTACATAACCCCCATTTCATGCTCGAAAACACTGATGCAGAAGGGGTTATATGAAATACTGAGGTTGACCTTCAGAGACCCACTGTAGCAAAACTGGAAAAGTTGATTACATAATACTAACTATTTATTACTAGGTGATAGCTATAAAATGTTATCTTATATTTTTCAGCATTTTGATGGAATTAAATCTTAAAGGCATAGTTCACTCAAAAATGAAAATTTCACTCAACGTCAAGTTGTTCCAAACTTGTTAGATTTTTTTCTTCTTCTGCTGAACACATAGTATTTTACAATTAAAGTTAATGGGGACCAGCAACGGTTTAGTGAGAGTAAATTTTCACTTTTGGGCGAGCTATTACTTTAAAGGATTTTTTTTTGTTTGTTTGTTTGTTTGTTTTTAGTTTTTTTTCTAAATTCCCATAATGTTGTGATAGAATGTTGTCATAACCAATAGATTAATAAAAACACTTTCAATGATGAGAGAAGGATGAAATTATACAATTATCATCAATGCTTGGGTCTCTAATGGTTGAACATTTCAGATGCTGTTCAAAATCTGTGGTATGAAAAACTGAATCAGTGCACTCTCTAAGCACTTCTGTCATGGTTCTATTTCATTGCTTTTGTTTGAATTCTGATCCATGTGAACCTGTACTTTATTCTATGCCTCTTTAGGGCCTGTAAGTAGTGTGAATTCAATCAATGGCACAACCTCTGCTCTGCATTTAAACTAGCCTCAAGTTTAAAACCCTTTCAACCCACACAACTCAAACTTAGCAGGAGCTCTTGTGATCTGATTTTAGGATTCAAGCACCATCGACCCACATAGCCCAATAAATCAGCCAGAGCACTTCTGCATGCTGTTGAATCACTTGTAAACGGACACATTTAAATCTTTGTAGTTCAGTATTTTAGGAGCTTGAGTTTGCGACGCTTAAAATAGTTTAAGCTCCATGAAAGATTCATGATCTGAAGACTCAAGAATAGAAATACAGTGGGTGCTACAGGAAATGACATTATTTTTGGCAGAATTGTTCACTGAAGATCATTCACATAAATGCCAAACACACTTGAAATGCATATAATTGTTTCTATCAGTAGTAGCGCTGGTTAACACAAGCAACTCCATTTTTATTATTATTATTACTCATTCATATATTACATGTATAATGTTTTTTAAAGTATAAGGACTGTTAATATATGAAAAAACTTACATAATACATACATTTTTTGCAGTTCATATACATAAATTTTCTTGTATTTTTTAATTTTTACATATATTAATGGGTTTTATTCTTCAAATATTGCATAGGATGCACATAAACATTCGTTTCGTATGCGTATTATATCATAAACAGTAGCCTGTGCCACAAAAATAGGGCAAATGTCATAAATAATCAGGCTATGGAAATATAGCAGCCTGTCTTATAATTGCTGTTACATGGAGAAGGACAGGCTTGTCTTAATAGTTTTCAAATATGAAATCTTTTTCGGATTATGCATACAAATGACCTAAGTAAATATGACTCGCTGTGCTGCGTGTGCAGGGTGCTAGCATTAATTGTGCCCTGCTCTTCAGCTGATTTCACAGAACTCTTTGCTTTGATGTTTGTGTAGATTGAGTTTTATTTTTTTTCCACTAAAAGCCCCTTCTGCATAATCAGAGCTGCTGCTGCTATTGATTGGTGTGGTGTAAGTAGGCGTTTCTTGTAATTGTTCAACTGGTTCAGTGGTTGCTAGACATTAATGGGTGCCTCCATCTCTCATTTGGCTTCAAAGCTTTAAGTGAGAAAACTTTGTTATTCTGGGAAATTAATATTCCCTTGGGCTACACATTCAACTTGCAGTCTATGAGAGAATCTGTGCGTGTGAGAGAGAATTTTTATTTTCTGTGAAAACAGCGTGAGATGGCCTGCGCTCTCTTAGCCATTCTCTGCGAGATTCTTCCAAGAGATGTCAGACCAAGACTCTGTGTGCACTTTTTAAAACAAATCATTATGTCCAGGCATCCTCTTTTGGTTCTTTCTCAACAAACCACTGGGTTTTCTCTGATAAAGTTAAGTTACAGGTTTAATCTTCCTCCTACACAATTTCTCACTTTTCGCCACATTTTTTCATGGCCATAACCTTGTGTTTCTCTCTCTGTTTACTTACCCTCTCACCTCAGATTCCTTTGTTTGCTTTTTTTATTAGTGGTGTTTGCCAAAGCAAATAGCACTATTATTATTGCTAATATGTAAGGTTAGGGGTTTTTCGAGGACGTTTTCTGAATCCGCCGCATCTCAGTTCCGTGTTCGGAAAGGAAATGAAGTGTACTACGGAAACCCTAAAAGGAATAAATAGCCTACGAGATGGGAGGATAAAAAAAATATTTTAATACGCAATTATATCGTTGGCTAAGTATAGGCGGCTGTATATAAATTTGTGGGCATCAGGGAGCCGCTATTGAAACTGGTTTCGATTGTGCGCTCTCATTTTACTTTCACTTTCACTTTTGAGACTGTGATCACAAGGACTCTATACTATGGAGCGGCAGTACTTACCACACATTTGACAAGATTAGATGTTTGTCATTGGTGCTCAGGATCTGCAAATCATTCGCCATCGTCCTATCAGACATTTCTCCTTACTCTGTGTATGTGGCAAGTGAACTTTCATGTACTGTAATGCAACAGGCTACCGCTAGCAAGCGGCTAACCTTTTAGTGGCTCCATAGAACGCGTTATTTGTTTCACGCTTCGGACACACCCCTAACCCCGCCCCTCCCCCCGCTGTCATCGTCCATCACAATGTTTCACTGCAGACATCGTCCGATGCCAATTTGGTAGTCATCGCCCAACTCTACACTGTGTATTGTGAAGAGCGCCATGCAAATAAATTTGACTCAACTTTGACTTTCACATGAGCAAACACTGCTTACAGTGTCAAAAAAAGTGAAACTTTATAATTTTCTCTGTCTGTCTCTTTATTGTAGGTGGTGTACTTCCACACTTCCCTGTGTCTGAGTTCTGTGGTGGCAGTGGTGGAGTTGGTGTCTCTGTCTACCAGGGCAGACGGTTCCCAGGATGCAGTGGGATCAGGTTTTGGACTCCTCCAGCTCTTCACAGGGCATGCAGACTCTAGTATCTCTCAGGGAGAGGGCAGGTAAAGGTCACCTCAGAGCAGTCCAGAATGGCCGTTTCCATGAGTGAGAAAGATGACACTCCAAAGCACACTGTCTTATTGACTATGCAGCAAATCCTGAAACCCGTAATCAGTGAATAAAATGGGCTTATTATAATGGCCCGCTATTCAGCAGAAGAAAGAACTGAATGGCTCTGTAATTTCATGTTCTCTTTGTCATACTAAAACATATCTGTCCAACATCGGAGTGTGGTGGACTTCTGAATGAATTCAGAGTACCTTTTGTTAACGGAGTACTTTACGGAGTACTTTTTGTATTTAAAATCTCGACGCAGCTCGAGTTCCTGAAGGGGAATGTCTCTAGGTTACGTATGTAACCATGGTTCCCCGAGGGAACGAGACGCTGCGTCTCTTTGCCATACTCCCTGCATCCCTGCAGGCGCTACTTCATCGAAGCTGGGTGGTGCCCGGCCGGATGCGCTTTTATGCTTTCTGGTGCTTACGTCACCCTGCTCGTGATGTCTCGCTGCTCCATTGGACGGATTTGACACGTGCTTCAGAACGCGGTCACGCAAGGGCATTCCCAAAGCGAATCTCGACGCAGCGTCTCGTTCCCTCGGGGAACCATAGTTACATACGTAACCTAGAGACGTTTCTTATTATCATTGTTGTAAGCAGTTGTACTGCTTAATATTTTTGTGGTAACTGATGTATTTTATTTCAGGATCCTTTAATAAATAGAATGTTCATAATAACAGCATTTATATGAGATATATTTTGTTTTTACATTATAAATGTCTTTACTGTGACTTTTTATGCAATTTAATGCATCCTTGCTGAATAAAATTATAAATCTATTTTTAAAAAGTGACAAACCTAACCTTAACCCATCTTTTTGACCCCAAACTGTGTATATTTGTTACCCCTAATGTAACATTTATACACATTTATATAAGTATTTTAACTTAGTATTACTATTTTTAACCACCATGTCTTTTTCAGGTTGAGTCTGTTCAGTGGGACCCCTAGAGCCCTCCTGCACCCAAAGCTGAAAGACCCTCTGCAGTGTGAGTGCAACCCTGAGCTTCACATTCAGTCAATAGTTCATAGTCCATACTGTTAGCAGCTCAATTCTTCTAAACAAATAATGGATTCAGTCAAAGTTTGAAGTCAACATGAAATCAGAATTGTTTCTTAATTCAATGCCAGTTAATGCTGATGTATTAAAATTGATGGCAATTACAGCAAATGATGATAGATTTGAAAAATAAGTGATGCCATTGTGATGCATTGAGATGTTCTTGAAAGCAAGCTAAACCTTCAGTCTCCATGTCCCAGTCAAAAATACTCCTCATAAGTGGGTTCCAGAAGCATTTCAGGAGGTATTCGGGTGTGACTTTGTTCTGATATTCAACACACTGTGACTGTTGTCATTATCCAATCAAATCCCGCCCTACTTTTTTCACATCGACAGTCTTGAGTGACACGTAAATATGTCACATTGCGGACATGAAATAGGTTGTGAATTGTGTTTCATATTGACTTTTAAAGCTGAAGTGTTCAGTCAGTATGAATGTGGTTGTGAAATAAAGAGATCATTCGTAGTTTTCTTCTAGGCAGTTCTCCATGATTTTTTTAGTTTGGTACCGTACATTAGATAGATGTTTCATTGATGTGATTACCCCAGCAGCACAGCAGGTATTTGAAGGCTTGACTGAACCGGCTTGATTTCTGGGAAAGCTCTTGCAGTGAAATTTGATGCTAGATAACATATTCTACTCATGGTCTCAAAGGAGTCAAACCGAGCTAGAGACAACAGCAAGAGCTTAGTAATAAATAGTTGATAAATATCACTTTATGCTTTCTGACATTAGAGATGAGAAACTATTTGCATGTGTGTGTTTGCCTCATTTCAAATGCTTTCAATATTCAATCTGTCAGCTTGCCTTGACTTTACCATTTAAATTTATTTCCACCTGAAAGCAAATTGAATTAGGACTTTTTCTTGCAGTGCCGTTCTAAGCAAACAATCTCTATCTTGATCATTTCAGATCTGGTTTCTTTCCTAATGCTGAAAGGTGAACAGGTTGCTTCTTTTGAAGGAGAATCTTAAATGTGTAAATTAAAGGAAACAGTTGGGACTCGCCTATAAATAATTGAAGAGATTCTTGAAACAGATTTCAGAAAGTAGCCTTAATTGAAGACTATTCTTTAATGTCGGCCTTTTTTTCTGTTTTGTTTGGCAGAGTTTTCATACCCTGGAAGATGCATTATTTGGTTTTGATCTTGTAAGTGTTTTATGTTTGAGAATAGTGTTCAGATTCCTTTCTTCTATTTGTGTTCTTATCTTTTTATGTCTTAATGGGTATGTTCCACTTTTTGCAATTTATTTAAATTTATGTTTATACCATGTATTGTGTATATATAAATTCATTTTCTGTGTCTGTAGTTTTAAGAAGCATACATTTTGTTTTTCATTCCTTCACTGTGGATTGAAAGCGGTCAAGTAGGTAATCTTCAAAAGTCTCCTTTGTTGAAGGAGTCCGCTCACACTGTACAGTCACATGCTATACAATGATATAATTGCAAAATGGGTTTTAGGGATTAATTGAATGCCAATGAAAGGCTGAATAAGTATTTTTCTCAGAGGACAGCAGCAGGTGGTATGGAACTAAAAAAAATAATGCATGATTGGAAACAAATTGCTTGTGAAAAAAGCAGTACACGTTTAGCATACTTTTAAAAAGAGTGCTTATTACAGAAACTGAATGTTTTCAGATATTTAATTGCATGTTAATTGCAATTCACTGAACATTAGTGTGCTTTTTGACCCACTTAGGCACATCTTCATATGTAATTGCATAATTACTTTTATTGTCTTTGAAATACTGTTAAAATTTACTGCCAAATGTAATGGCAAGCATAAATATACTTAAACAAAATTTTCATTGAAACTTGTATGTCATGCGTTAAATTATATACTGTATGTATTTACATATTTGTAGTAATGAAGTTGCAATTTAGTACATTTAAAATATATTGACTTAAAATGTGATTTTTAATAACACACTACAGTTAAAATTATAATCAAGTACTTGTGGTTTAGGATGTTAGTCAAAACATCAAAATTTGTTTACTTCTTTAAAGCACCAGAAGATTATTAAAACAATGATTTAAAAAGTACTTGAAAGAAAAACATTTAATTTGACATTATTACAAAGTGCACTTTTAAAAGTGTCATAAATATACTAATATAAAATATTCTAATAATAATTTGAAGTACACTACAAGTGTGCAATTAAGCACACTTCTTTTTCGCAAGGGATAAGTTAATAAGATGGAAGACAGAATTTTTTCCCTTGGATATTTGACTTTCTAAACAATGATGTTTATGTAATCGCGTATGACAAAGCTAATGAAGTAATTTTGTCTATAACGAGAGTGATGTAGTTTTGTTGTTGTCCCATCATACTGCTTGCTTTGTAGACGTGTTGATCTCGAGACTGAGAGCACCATATGAGAGTGAGTCATGGATGTAGTGTATCTGCAGGGTGTCCAGCTGTTGGAGTGGAGAGGGAGCAATGCTGATCTAAAATTCTCTCTGAATCCAGCCTTTCCTTCTAGCCGTGTGTCTCTGTGCTACCTGCCATTCTGTCTCAATTATGCCTCTCCATGCTGGAGGGAGGAGATGTCCTGCTGTCTCTCTGAGAGTCTGAGCCTCCTAGGGCCTCTCACATCACACATAAACTTGCTGTCAAACACACACAAGCATAGGTGCAAACATTCTTTCGCATGACTTATATAGCACCACACACAATTTCAGCCATTGTCTGCTCATTAATATTATTGTAGCCACCTTCTGGATGGTGCAGACATTGGGAAAGTGAGAAGACGAGACCTAGAACAGTGCTTCTCCACTGGATTTTCTTCAGAATCCAGATTTTTTTGCTAAACATCAAGTGACGACCTGATGCGCTACCAAGCCCAGTTCAGTTATGTTCAAATCAGTTCAGTTTGATTTGATTCAGATCAGTTTTATTGCCTCAGTTTAAGTTTAATCCAGTTCAGTTCTTTTATTCATTTTGTTTTGAATCAATTTAAACTTGATTTAATACGTTTATTTTTATTTAATTGAAGTTAGTTCAGTTTAGTTCAATTTAATTAATTCATCTGAATTTAGTTGATCAATGAATGCAGCATTGGTTCGGTTGCATTCAGTGTAATTCAATTTAGTTTAGTTTAAGTTTGATTCGGTTACACTTTTCACATATTTATCTATGCATCAAAATACCCATAGATTTTATTTGGATGTGTAGTATGTGAAGTCATAAACAAAAGACATGCCACGTGTTTTTTAAAAATTGGAGAGAAATTTATATTTTTGCTATATTTAATGTTCAAATATTTGCATGGATGGTTACATTATATTTTTTTGAATTTAGCATTGATTTTTGGAACATTTTTGGATCATGACCCACAAGTTGAGAACTACTGGCATAGAGGATGTGTAAACAGCACTGGCAGAGCCTAATAATTCTGGCACGTTGAAATCTGTGCTTTATTTGATTGTGTTTGTCTGGGCGTTATCTTGTCTTTTTTGCGTGTGCATAGAAGAGAGAGACGGAGAGATGCGAGAATAAGTGAGCAGTTTTTCATCTCTGAAGATTAGAATTCCTATTTTGACACATTTCAGTGTTTGTAGATGGCTGATTTGGACAAGCACAGTAGCTTAGTCATTCCTTCAGAATAGAGACAAATAGATGCAAAGCCACGTTGATGTTGTTACATCTGCTGTTCTTTCACCTGTGAAAGAAACGCATAATAACCTTGAAATGCCAAAGAAGGAATGGTCATGTTAAATTAGTTGTTAAATCATAGGTTTAATCATGAAGTATTCATTGGGAATCAGCAACAAAGCTGGTGGACAGAGAGCTGTAGGTTCTGGTACACCGATTGCTATTTTTGATTTTAATTTGAATAATTTTAGTACTGTTTTTTTAAACCTTGGCCTGGTGGATTGTACATGTGTTTCACACATGCTGAGCCTTGGTATTTGTATAAGAGATGCAAAGCTGTCTTTTCTTTGCTTTCTATGTTATTAAATAAATAAATACACACACTACTATTCAAAATTTTGGGGTTAGTAAGATCTTTTTTAAAATACTTTTATTTAGCAAGGATGGATTAAATTGAATCAGAAGTGACCAGAAATAATTTGTAACAGTATAAATCTACTATTTAAAAAAAAAAAAAAGCTGTTATTTAGAATTTTCTATTCATTAAAGAATCCTGAAAACAAATGCATCACAGTTAAAATAATAAAATTTAAAAAATGAAGCAACTGTTTTCAACATTGATAATAATCAGAGATGTTTCTTGAGCAGCAAATCAGCATATTAGAATGATTTCTGAAGATCATGTGACACTGAAGACTGGAGTAATGATGCTGAAAATTCAATAAATTACACTTTACAATAGACTTCAATAGAAAACAGTTATTTTAAATAGAAATAATGTCATAATATTACTGTTTTTACTGTATTTTTGATCAAATCAATGCAGCATTGGTGAGCAGAAGAGACTCTCTCTCAAAAACATTACAAATCTTAGCCCCCTCAGTCTTTTTTACTGTAGTGCACAAGACGTCAGAGTGAATTCCTGTAGCTTTACCTCCTTCCACAGCTTGTTAAAGCATTTGCTGATTGACTTGAGAGCGTTCCCTGAGGCTCCGCCCACCACCTCCGCCAGCAGCAAACTCTGAACCTCAACCTGATTGGAGGAGACACAAAGAGAGAATATGATTGGACAGACCACATGTAAAGATCAAAACAATAAAAAGTAAGCCATACAGGTTTGGAACTCCCGCTAAACTATGAATGATAAATATAGCAAATTAACTCTCTGAATGGCAAATACTACTGACCAGTTTCTTCCATTTGGCACCTTCTCTCCTGTCTGCGGAGGGGAAGACGGTCTGAACGATCAAGCAGGTCCAGGGCAGGGCGCAGCAGGCTCCTGAAGCCGTGCTCTTCCTGTGGACATTTGACATTATATCTGAATGCACCTCATGGTTGTTCGCTTCTGATAACTATTAGGGGTGCGACGATACATAATTTCTGCGATTTTCCGAATGCATCGTGATTCTCTCTGGAATTGATTCTGAGCTTAGTTTTTAACAGCAGATGGCGCTCTAGGCTAGTGTTTAACCGCACACTTAAACGCTCACCAAGAAGAGCGCTTGAGCATTCGGCTGAGTAATGTACGTGGTTAAACATTAATGCAGGCAATTAATTTTTCCGGTTTAACTGTGTTAAATATTTAACACGGGCAGGGCTACGGTTGGCCACCCCACTCACAACTGCTGCCTCTGTCTCCCCCCTTTATATATATATATATATTTATTTATTTTTTTTATAAACCTTGTTGAGCCAAAGACATGGCCTTCCAAAACATTAGAAAACACTTCCCGATCCCAAACTTTTTACTGGTAGTGTAACTGCAGTAATGCTACACTATAGCAGGTGTCTCATTTATACAGCTACAGTAAAATAGGAAAAACGTACTTAAAAAAGATCAGCAGGTTATATTTGAAATGCATAGTGTTGCATAGTAACACTGCAAAGAATGAACTTTGTTACTCAGACTATAAATATGCAGGCCCACACAAAATCTGTGCATAGATTCCCTCAGCATTGGTACTTCCATCACACGCCGTTTCATTCTGCAGATTGACCCCCAAAATGAGTGCAGAGAATAGAAAAAGTGTGCCGATTCTCTCTGTGCCTGGTAGTACATAATCATTAGAACAGCATGTTTATTTGCTACTAAGTGGATGTTTTTTTAATCCAATTTGTTGTACTCTAATTGTACAGATTTGTCCATTAGATAAGTAATCTCAGCAGTTTTGTCACCCTACTTGTGATTGAACCTGTGACCTTTCATTTAAAAGCCCTGATCCTTAACCATCAGGCGAGCACCACTCAGAGCTGTTATTAAGAGTGAACGGAATGACACACTGCAGCTCAGTGATTTGCACAGCGGCACAGAGTAAGCAAAGTGCGATTCTGATCAATAAAAATGAGTTTGTCTAATAAAGTAACTGCGCATGCTCTCAGGCTATGGCATTGTTCCAGAATATGTATAGGCCTTTGGAAGGAAATCTTTTTTCCCTGCTCTCTTTCTTTTTGGAGTTTGATTGGTAATTTTTGGCTCATTTTTACTGTTTAAATCCTTCCCAAAAAGTTTGCAGATTCCATCTGGGCCTGTCATTTGGTATGTGAATGAAAATATGTGTGGTGTCACCTGCCACCGTATGCAGGTGTCACCGACATCCATTTCCTCAACTCAGGCAGGTGTGCGCACACATGTTTGTTTCATTCAGAACTGGCCGTGTTTTTTCCCAATTGAGCGGTAGTGATGCACGATTTTGTGTAATATGGTTTCGAAGTAATGGAGTGGAATGTGCGCACGCGTGTATCAATGTCTGGGATAAATGGCCTAATAAAAAATGGAAAGCTCTGCTGAAATGTAATGATGCAAACGTCCCGTCTTTCAGTGGGTTCACACCAGCCTGCTCCTTCTTTCTCACAGCTGTGCACAACAAAGAATAGCACATAAGCAACAAAACAACACATATGGAGTCCAGTTGCATTATGGGAAAATTTTCTGTGGCCTTATGGACACACCTTGCATCTAAAAGCCTTATATAAGTCCTTATGCACACTGGCCTTTGTGAGATTTCAATATTTGAGTCTTACCGTGGCTCACTAGAACATAAGCCATAAAATGCCTGTTTTAAATGTAAATCAAGTTTAGAAACTCAAATGGGGTCCAGGTGGGTGTTTTTCCTCTGCTGTGAAAGTGTCGTTGACAGTGAAACTATTCTCGAAACCGTGTAGAATGGGCAAAAGTGTGGTAAAATTCAATTAAAGTGGAGATTGCTTGCATACAGTATAGTTGTTGACTCTAGCATGAAATGAAACTCTCCGCTTGTGCTCTCATATGTTGTCTCAGTTTGATAAAAATGTCTCTCTCATTTGTAGTAATCTTTTATGATGGTGAGTTTCATTGGGTGCAGTCAGCAGCATAGATTTGACAGGGATGTTTTTCCCCCGTATTTAACAATGATGTGTAAACCTTGGGTTCATATAAATCTAGATTTTACCGTGCTGTGGGGTTTGACAGTATCCCACTTTTGATCTGTTTATTGTTATTAGTGGTGCTTGCTAAGACAAGCATCACTATTATTATTGCTCATACTTGAGGTTAGACTTTTTTTTTCTTTCTAAACCCATAACCCAGTATTAAACTTCAGTGTGTAATTTGTCCCGCACCATTTGAGCCACAGACATAGACGATACCTCAAATTGTGTGGCTTGTTGAGGAGAGGCATGCGGTTACCTTTCAGATTTATCAGCTGAGAAGGCTGATGATAAATTGGGCAATACAACCCCATAAACTAACACTGAAAGGGGGAACAGGCATATATGTAGCAGTGTCATAGATTCAGTCAGTAAGGAGGCTCTGCCCACTTGCTGAAATCAGAATCCAAGCTTTTTTCCAATGATGAGTGAATTGAGAAAGTTAACAAAATGTTCTCATTGGTCATAATTTATATTGCATCGTATTTTAAAAACATTTTTGAATTTTAATATATACTACTTTTCGATAGTTTGTGTTTAGTAAAGATAGTAAAAAAGTCTATTTTAAATAAAAGCTGTTCTTTTAAACTTTATATTCATCAAAGAATCCTGAAAAAATGTATCACAGTTTCCACAAAAAGCAGCACAACTTGTTACGGGGCTGACGAGACGTGAGACGTGCGGATCCACTTGCAAGCTATTTATTAGGAGAAGACAGAGACGTGGTCATAAAACAGGCATGGGTCAGATAATGGCAGACAGGTATATGGCGGGCAAGACACGAAGAAACCTAATGCTAGCGGAGGTGAACGATCGGCAAACAGAATCAAAGGGGCGAGACTAGAGGGATAAGTCCAGGTACAAGGCAAGGTCCAGGCAGGGGCAAACAGAATCAAAAATAGAGCAAGACGAGAGGAGGAATCCGAGAGACACAGGCGAAGATCAAGGAACGAGAACACAGACAAGGCAAGACTAAGGTAAGGATAAGACAAACTAAACGGACTCTGTAATGTAGCTATCGCTAGGGGAGTGATAATCGCTAAACAATACTCGGCCCAAGGAAGGGATCAGAGTGAGAGCTAAATAGTGAGTGAGTGATGTGAAACAGCTGTGCAATCAGTGCTGTGCAATCAGTGAAACAGCTGTGTGCAATCAGTACTATGGATGATGGGATATGTAGTCCGGGATGACATGCAACAGTTTGAGTAGTGCGAGAGTCAATGTAATGGAAGGGTGACCTCTGGTGGTGATTGAACGGAAGTTCATGGACAGGATTCGTGTCACAACTATTTTCAACATCGATAATAATAAGAAATGTTTATTGTGCACCAAATCAGCATATTATGAGGGAATGATTTCTGAAAAATCATGTGACACTGAAGACTGGAGTAATGCTGAAAATTCAGCTTTGCCATCACAGGAATAAAATACATTTTGAAGTAATTGTTATGTATAATTTCAAATGGTCATAATTCTAAATATTACTGTTTTTACTTTATCTTTGATAAAATGAACACAGCCTTTGGGAGCATAAGAGACTTCTTTACAAAAAAAAATAAAAAATAAAAATAAAAAAATAATAATAATAAATGTACAAACCCCAAACTTTTGGTAGTAGTGTATATACTATTTGCATAGGTTTATTTTTATTTTTATTCATTTATTTTTTGGCTAAATCTGTCAGATATTTTCTTCGTTAGAATGAATGAGTAGCAGGGATTTGTTTTCCTCTATGTAAAACCACAGCCTCAGTATGTGATGCATTGCTGACTATCTATTACAGTGAGTAACCACCCAGAATATCCTTGCAACCATAGAACAGACCACCTTACGCTCAGACCACTTTATGGACAGCTTAGCAACTCCTTTGCATTGTGGCAGTGAGCTTTGCACTAATAGAAAGTGTAAACAACTAGAATTGTGTCATCTTTCTGTGAAGTTCAATGGAAATCATGACTGTCTTTTTCTCTCTGTAGTGAATGCCATGTTATCAGTGATGGAGGGCTCTCAGCTGCTCTACTTCATTCAGCCACACCCAGCTCTCATTCCCATCATGCACCTGCTCCCGCCCAACATTCTAGTGTCTGGACATGACAGCATCCCTGGTGTGGTGTCGTCCACGGACACAGGCACAGGTAGGATTACCCACAATGCCCCCTCTCAGTTTATCATTTGAATGTGAGAGAAAAGGCTTTAATGTGCTAGATTTTCATTACAGTTATAAAACAGTCAAATGGCATTTGATGACTGCTCATCTGTAACGAGAGAATGTGTGTTGCCATGGAGACAGCAGAAGGAACTCTAGAAGCCTCACTAAAGAGCTTCCCGTTTCTCATGACATTCCCTTGATTAGCTTCAGAATCACTTCATACCAAAACAGGTCATAAATGAGACTTTGAAGCAAAAGCATTTGAGGCTTTTCACAACTTTTCTGACTGTGCTCATGATTTCTGTTCTGAGCTGCTTTCAGGGGTGGGTAAAGACAGACTATCTGAACGATAGTAATGAACCGTGGTGGGTTTCACAGTGGCGAGAGGATTTGAAGTTGAGCACAATGTCGGGCTAATCCTCCAGCACCCCAAATATCTCACAGGGAGCGTGACCCATGACCACAGTCTAGATCCAGAGAGGGATGCAAGAAATTAGAGAATTATTCCACAGTGATATTTCTATATCTCTCGCTCCCCCCTACCTCTCTCTCACATTATAAACCGATGAGCAGATGTAGGAATAGGGTTCCTCTGGAGCAGGTTTGTCTTTGAACTGCATCTGAAATGTTTGAGTGCTATATTCTGCATCCTCCTGGGCCCCCACATAGACTGAAAGTAGAAAAAGAGAGATGTTCCCCCTGACTGTTAATCCGGTTAATAAGACATGATTCAAAGCACTTCATTCTAAGATCCAAAAGCAATATATTCTGTCTGATTATAAACTTTTCTTGAGTGAGTGTCATAAAAGCCAAATTCCACCAGCCACCTCTTATTTTTATTGCTTTAATTGTATCCAAGTGAAAAATTACCTTCAATTTCCCAATGGTCTTGGCACATGATTGATCATAACACAGTTCTGTGACACACCCACCAGTTTTTAATGCCGTTCAAACTGTAGGTTAACATAGTAAATGCTTAATGCATGAGGAAGGTTCTGTATGTGCACTGTAAAGAAGAGTTTCCCCCGAGGAGGTTCACATGAATTATATATGATGAACAGTGTTAACTTGATTATTTAGCATTTAATTAATTAATTTAAAATATTATTTACATATTAAAATAAATTAATTCTTAATTAGTCATTACCTATTGACAGCCTTAATAAAAATGTATACTATATAATTAGGTAGTAAGTGTGAAAGTATTTATTTAATTTAGTATTTACCATTTTTTTATGGATATAGATAATAATTAATCTGAATAATTAATCATTTTAACAGCCATAATAAAAATACAATATATAAGTGAGTAGTAATAGCTCACAACAGAGTCAATGTGAAATTCTGTACTTCATCAAAACTGCTTGAAATAACACACTTTTTCAATTGTTTGTTTAATTATTATACTAGACACTTCATCACCTCATATTAATTGAAAGACTACATGGTATATTTGTAATTTGGGCAAAAATTTAACAAAAAGTATGCACATCTAGCAGGCAAAAAAGCTCAGTGAGGGTGCTCAACCACAAAAAGTAACAAACAAAAAAAAGAAAAAGTTGTCACACCATAGCTCTAAAAGTAGAAAAATATGTATAGCATGTTCTCACCAAAATAACATGCATCAGGTCTGATGAAGAGCCACATGACTCGAAACATTATATTTGTACTTTTTAAAATAATTTGTCATACCTCAGGACAAATTAATTAAGGCTAAGGGGCAAATAATAACAATGGAAACTTGTAAAAGAAAGAGTTTTAATCTTGTATGTACATTTTCTTTATCATCTACCCAATTAAAGATGTGTAATTTGAAACGTGCTAAGAAAAAAAGAATATTGTTTCTGTTTATTTATAAAGCACAATTAAAACAACGTGATGCTGACCAATGTGCTGTATAATTTCACTATAAAATTACACAACATTTACTTTCAGACAAACAATGACTATTACAATAAACAATATTAAGCATGCAAAAGTGTGAAGTTGTGAAAAACATTGTATTTATGGTAGGGCTGCACGATATTGGAAAAAACTCACATTGCGATATTTTGTATTTCTGCGATATGAAAAAACAAACAAACAAAAAAAAACACCAGATAACTTGAAAAGCTCTATTTGGAAAAAAAAAATCAATGATTGGGGTGATTTTGTAGGTGATTAAATCAGCATAGAAAAATAAACAAATTACAAACATAGATAAATATAATAGAACATAGATATAAATTAAATAAACCGTACTTTATATTTTTCCGGTAAGTCTAACAGCATTCAGGTATGCTGGTTGAATAATGAAAAATGTAAAATAACACTGCATAGTCTTCACTGTATAAATTCAATCTAATAAATATGTGTTTAAGCTACAAAAGTGATTTAAATCTCTGTGTTTTGCTGCTTGATTAACATTCATGACAGAAAGCCTTAGGAGCATTAAACTGCTGTGAACCAATATACTGTTACACATACATTTTCTTTCTCAGTTGTTTACCTTCACCTAAGACATAAGCAACTGTTTACAAGGATACTTGCAGAGACATGCATTTTGACATAGTTCTGTGCGTATGTGTCATTTTAGGCACAAATAGACGCGGAAGTGAACGGAATTCAGTGTTCATGTGCATCTGCGTGGCTCTCACCGTGTCTACACCGGACGCGAGGGGCGTAGAACCCATTATAATCAGCGCTGTCTACGATGGATGCGGCGTGGTGCAGCACGACAAATCCCAGAGAGTAAATCCCTCGTTCTTTTTATGACATACTGACACAAAGTTCAAAGGATTTGCAACGGGTGTCGCGAAAACGATCAGTATAACGATCAGTATACTAAACATCGCACATTCTGCGATGTGACTACCGCGGGGAGCGCGCATCGCGATATCGATGCTGAAACAATATATCGTGCAGCCCTAATTTATGGAAAGGTTAGAATTAGATTGGTATTTGAACTAAATAAAAAATTTAGGTCTAGGGGTTAAACTGAAGTTAAACAGCTGGGAACTCCTGCATTAGAGAAATACAGTATTCTAAATTTTAAAGGTCCCCTGAAGTGCCTTGAAACACACGTTATTCTATGTGGTGACGTAATTTAAACTGAAACAGGAAGACAGGGCGGGACATATCAAGCAGCCCCGTCCCCTTTTTAAAATAGCCAATAGCGTTTTGTTTATATCTGCTCGGGCCAGAGCTGTTGAGCTCGGTAAAGCCGCATTTGACAGCCACAGTCTAATAGATTACCCCCTAGGTTCAATATGAATCTCTTAGTAAAACAATATAGTGATCATAATCATGCTGCGGCTGTGTAGTTTTAAAAGTGTTTAATATATGCCAACTCTCGCATATGATCCGCTCCGTGCGATCGCCTCTCTGGACCGGAGCCAAAATCCGGACTTCGTGTGCTGCCACGGTTTGCGTGAATCGTTTCCTATCGCCTACATTGTGCACTACTTGCCATTCACTGTACAGGGAATAATACTACACTGTAAACAAGTGACCGATCTCAGCCGCAGCTTCAGCGTCTATTTGTAGTGGGTGGGCGCTTCGGATTCTAGAGAGCATTTGATTGGTCAGAAGATTTGATGAGAAGCTGAAGTACGAGGTGATGTAAAAAAAAATCGTTGATTCATTTTGGCAGAAGTGACGAACTGTAAACTTTGAATGCTTATATCTTCTAAATCCGAATTTTGCCACTGTTTTGGAGCACACTGGCTAATAGATAACCTTCAGACTAACATATTAATACTACCACCCAAAAAAAAACTTAATTTTGATTTCATGGGGACTTTAAAGATACACAACACAAATTAATAGATAAACATTAGCAAACCTTTAAATGTTTAAAGAGACACACTGAATTTCCTCTATTCTCTTCTGTTGAGCCGTAACCTATCAGAGCTTCTTTAGCGCATCTCTCTTGGGCTGCAGTGGTGGGGTTTTTTGTATGCTGTAATGTCCTGACGATGCTGCGCTTGTTTGGCTGTCAGGCCTCAGTGCTGCTGTACAGATAAGCCTGGTTTGGTGTGTATGTGTGCTTGAGTGTAGAGTGATTGTGCAGTGTGTTTGAGGTAACAGACTGTGAGTACGGTAAATGTCTGAGTGTGTCGGAGCTCCGGGCCTGGCTTTGATAGTGGTAGACTCTGTGAGTGTGTTAAAGCTAAACTGTGATAGACTGTGTTTGTGTATGGCTGAGTGATCCGTGAAAGTGAAACTCTTCTGCTTGTGACTCATTCAAACCAGCATGCCTGCTGTCTGCTGCCACAGCAACTTGTGTATTATTACAAACATGCGCACACACACACACACACACACACACACACACACACACACACATACCATATGATAACTTTTTGTGATAAACAGACCCAAATGTAGGTGGTTGTTCTAAAAAATTATTTACAACCACTAAAAATTAGGTGGTTGTAAAATTAGGCTGTTTTACTCACCCCCGAGGGATGCTAGGTGTATATGACTTTCTTCTTTCAGACGAATCCAGTCGGCGTTATATAAAAAATTGTCCTGGCTATTCCAAGCTCTATCATGTCAGTCAGTGGGTGTTGCAGTGCTTCAGTCCAAAAGAAGTGAAACAAAAAGCGCCCATCCATAAAAAACAGTGTCTCACACATGGGCATGGAACGATAAACGGTTTCAAGGTATACCGTGGTTTGGAAAAGTCACGGTTTCAAAACCACTAAAATTTTCCGTTATACCGTTCCTGCGGTATGCACAGTTTTTTTTACGTGTCATCAAAGACGGAAAGTGCATGACTCCCTCAGTTGTGTGCAGCGAAGAGCGTAAAGCACAATTTATACTTCTGCGTCGAACCTATGCCGTAGCCTACGCATAGATGCACTCCCTACACTGTAGCCTGACGTTCACCTCTCCAAAAATCTAACAGCGCGTCAATTCTACACGGACCTCAAGCGCTGTGATTGGTCTGCTAGAACCCCTACCTCCGTATCAACCCTCTACACTGCGAGTAAATCACTCGCATATGCGACTAAATCTTCACTCTGGGCGACTAAATTATGTCTAATATTAGCCAACTGCTAATAAATTCTCAGATTTTACTCGCCAGTGTGTGAGTTGGAGGCTAAGTATAAGTTTAGCTCAGATATATTTTCACTTGCCGAACACTCTCTGACTGAGTGCATCAGAGTTTCACTCTCCACCAAGGGATCTGTGCTGTTTTTCAGTTAATCTGAATGGATGTGCAACGCACCTGTATTTAACGTACCGCCAATGGCGATTTAATTGCCATGGTGTTCGTAGAGGGCTGCGTATGTACTTGAGTTTTGTGTATGTTTATGTGCACTTTAATATAGTTTAATGTTACACCTTATATAAAATAAAACAAAGCAAAGAACAAGTGTCTTATCATTTATTATACTACATAGCATTATACATCAGTAGTTGTCTGCGACAAGCAATGTTGATCTGCCATGGTACAAGTCCTTGTGGAGATTGAAAGTATGCCATCTTCTCCTGTTCCGTTGTTGTTTCCTTTTTGTAGTTTTAAATAATGATTTGATATTTATTTGCCGCCGTCACTGCTATAATGCTTCTCTAACGAGCCGTTTCTTCTTCGACTTTTACTGAGGTACTGCGGGTTACACCAGCAACATGCCCGTGGACACGGCAGACTAGCGGTTTGCATGTGTACTGCACGTTGACGTGGACAACGACGCAGAAGTATAAATGAAAACTGACGCATAGCCTACGGCGCAGGTCTGACGCAGAAGTATAAATCAGCCTTAACGAGTCACACGACCCCTCCCCCTCCGGTTGGTGTGAGGCTTCGAGCAGTGCGTATGTGTCTGACAAACAAACTGCTGGTTCTCAGGTGTCTTTGCCACTGTTTGAGTGTTGTACGGAGAAAGACTGTGTGTGTGTGTGTGTGTGTAACACACTCGCGCTCTCTCTTTCCTTATGTGTCTGTGCACACATCCTCGTACCTCACCGCTCCAAACTTAATCCAGTGTGTGACACTCGCGCTCTCTCTTTCCTTATGTGTATGTGCACACAGCCTCGTACCTCACCGCTCCAAACTTAATCCAGGAAAGGTGAACATTCCTGGATCATAACTTGAACTGAAAGAGGAATGTGTAGAAAGTGAGCATGTCTCCAAAAACCTTGTTGAGCTGCAGGTTTAATGACTGCATTTTTTATTTTATTTCTTTTTATTTCTTTTTTTTATTTTTTTTAGAAGGAATTATTTTCATTTTTTTTACAGAAAATAATTTATTTATGTTCTGATTATTGTTGAGCTGCAGATTTAGGCCCACTTAAGTGACTGCACTTAATTTAGGGTGCTTTCACACCTGTAGATCGATTGCTTTGTTCCGAAACAGGGATTAAAATTATTACAATGTTTCTTTTTATTCTTGGTGTGGTTCGCTTTCACAGGGCAAAGCTTCTAAATTGACCAAATTTGTTAATACAAGTCAAGCGCGAGTAAACTGTTCTCTCATTGGTCAAAGTTCTACGGTTTATTTTCCGGGATTCCACTTAGCTGTCACGCATGTCATCCGTCAGGAGATAGGAGTTGCACTTGCATGCCCGAGAGGCGTTTCAAAGATGGCCGCCGAGTGACATGACTTGTCTTAAAGGGACTTTTATTCAATTGAATTTGCCACAGGTTAACTTCACTCGAAGTGTAGTAACATTTACAAGCAATATGAATACTCCTGAGCTAAATTTTAACTATCCCAGATAAGGGTATGAGTACTTATGCAATGGAATCATTTAAGTTTTTTATGAATCCTGAAAAAATGTATCATGGTTTCCACAAAAATATTAAGCTACTGTTATTAACATTGATAATGTTAAAAGAAATGGCATCAGCATATTATTAATAGCAGCTGAAATGTCAGCTTTTCCATCACAGGAATAAAATACAATTTAAAATATATTCTAATAGAAAGCAGTTATTTTAAATTGTAATAATATTTCTCAGTATTACTGTTTTACTATATTTAGATCAAATAAATATAGCCTTGGTGAGCATAAGAAACTTTCAAAAAACATCAAGAATCTTACCAACCCCAATCTTTTGAATGGTTGTGTACCTCACAAAATATTTCAAAATAATTCTTCCCACATTCCATGTTGGTTTCACTTCAGAAATCTTTGAAATGAATCATCATGTCTCATGTAAACATTCAGGTCCAGTACTTCTGAGAAGAATCTGATTTATAGATTAGACAGCTTTCACTAAGGGAATGCACAACAGTTATAGAAACCAGTTAGCCTAGGGGTTAATGCTGTATAACAGATGTTTATCTTTAAATAAATTATGGGGGATGATTCACTTAACCTGTCTGTATGTGAAGAATTTATTTAATTTCATTTTTATTTTCTGCATATTTCACTGAGATGTCTAAATAAAACATCAAGGATGAGTTTTTCAAAAAGAGCAGGTTAGTGTCGTTGTAAGTTGAGCATGTTTGGATGTGCCAAGGCGACCCAGGCAAATCTTGACAATCACAAACATGTGATGTGACCATTTTCAGATCGATCAAAAGATTTTTGAATTGATTATGGAGTTTATTAGACCCATATGGGTTAGTGAGCTAGACTTTTTGTCTTTTCCAAAAAGAAAATAAAACGTGGGTGCAGTGGTTTGGATATGCAGAAGACTTTCTCAATACACAATGTTTGAAACGCTTCACAGCGAGACCCCTACTGAGAGCGGAAATGGGGCCAGCCAAAGATCTCAGCTGGAGGAAATGTGCCTGTGATGATGCAGCCAGACACATACTCCAAATTATAAATTATCATTGGTCCTTATTCTTTTTTAAATCAAAAGAGGTATTTGGGCCACATGGAGCTCCATTACGTTGGCCTCAACTGCATGGATTTTTCCCTGCTTCTGGAACACATTTAGCTCTCTTGTGCATCACTCACTAGTTTGTTACCCCGTGCACTTTGTGTTTTTTTCCCCTGCATATTTGAATGCATTGCCATGAGGAAGAGGATCTTGGCATTCTGAAGCATGCTGATAAATACATTTTTACTGTCTAATTAAATCCTTTGTTGCTGTTATGCTGTAAAAAATGAATAGCCATTAAATATAAAGGACAATAATAAAATGGCTGGATGGAATTGGCTGTGCATGCAGGAAATTAGTACAATGTTAACATTATATTCACTCCATCTCTGTTGCAGCAGATGCGCTGCGGAAGCCTCGTCTGTTGAAGAGCTTCTCGTGTGTGTTGGAGGGCCTACGTGTGGCACTCTTCCCCTCCATGGAGGTCTTCGAATCTGACCTGCTCCAGCTGCTCAACAGAGACTGCCAGAATACAGTAAGCTACAAAATGACTCGAACCAAATGTTTAGGCCATTCAATTATGTAAATTCAGCAAGTTATGATTTGACTCCTCCTTAATGGGGTATATACAATTATTAAACGATGTCACACAAACTGTTGTAATCAGGCTGAAGTTATCAGGAACAGGGTTATTATAGTTAAAACCATTAAAAACATTTTTGTTATCAGCTACTTTAAATAAATAAAGACTTTAACAGAAATAAAATATAAACTATTTGCCAAGTCAACATATCTCATTTTATAAACATTATATATAGAAAAACTATACAGAAAAAAAATATATATTAAAAATGGCAAAAATTAGAACAAAATTACTAAAACTTTAAAATTGAAATCGGAAAATATAAAAATAAAAACTGATTCAAAATATTAATAAAAACTTTAAAGTATCTAAATGACACTAAAATAACACTAGTCAGGAATATTGTTAATTCTGTGTTTTGATACTTTATGCTCATATTGGAAAGTGCACTATGTTTTAAAAATATTTTAGTATTTTGTTTGTTTCCCCAGCTGATTGAATGGAGTATTGAACTTTTTAGTGACACCTTTCAGTGTCAGAATCCAGCATAACACAAAAGCAAACCTTCTGCTGTTGTTGAACTACTCTATTTGCACATATTTCCGTTTCCATTAATTGGGTGGTTAATGAGAATGAGTGAGTTGTATTTGGATGATTGAAACAAATTACCTTGTGTACACTATAGTCTCTTTTGCATGCTGAAATAAACAACCCAAATACATGGACTTTTTTGTAGAGTATTGCTTCAGCAAATGCACAGGTGGTCTGAAGTCTTGATAAAGTAGTCAGCAGTGAAAAACATTGTTGATTTAATTGGCACATTTTCCCCTACCACTCCATTTTGCGCGTTCACGTGAAGGGGTAGGGGTTTCTCAATTCTCTTTTGGTTGGAGGGGTAGGGGTAAGGGGAAGGGCCAGACAGCCCTTCAAACGAAGATTTTTTGGGACCACATTTCAAACGAAGGGGTATGAATTATCTCAGCGTAAACCGGCTTCAGCGGCAACATGGCTGCCCGAGCGAACAAAAAGACACACAAATGTAAGCATTTTTGGCATTAATAAAGATTTTAACAAAAAGTAATCATTTGTTTTATGTTACATTCAATTGTGAGTTCATATTTAACTCATTGGGCTCATTAAGGCCCACCCGAAAAATGTCCTTAAGGGCCACGTCATTAAAATCCACTTGGACTCCACAAAAGTCCTGAACTTAATCTTCAGTAGTACGATGGCCTTGGCGAAGGCACAACAAGGAAACTGCTGGGTTCATATTTTGCTCTAGCTTTTCTGTAACTGAAGTCCCACTGAAGGCAAGTACGATGAACCCATGTGCAGCCTTTATTAATAAACAAAGCAAACCAAAACGTGATACAAAACAGACATGAACTAAACCGGATCTTGACATGACCATGAACAAAACAGCAGGTTTCACAGTACAAAACTAGACGATACACAATGGCAACATGAGGGCTATATATATATATATATATATATATATATATATACAACTCAAATAAAAGGGGTCACTTGACATAAACTAACCAACGAACACATGATACATACAACAAAGGAACCAATGGGAACAAGACACATGAACAAAAGGACCTTATGGTAGGATCACATGACAAGGTCAGGGAAACACATGACAAGGCAGGAACCGAGACAAGAAAACCTAAATAAGAAACAAAAACCAGCATTAAAGTGAATGTGTGAAGTGATGTGTGGCCGAGTATGGTGACCCATTTTGAACTTTCTATTAATCAAAGAATCCTGAAAAAAGTATCACGTTTCCACAAAAATATTAAGCTGCACAGCAATGTTTCTTGAGCACCAAATCAGCACATTAGAAACATTTCTGAAGGATCATCTGATACTGAAGACTGGATAAAATAATGTTTTGAAATATTACTTTTTTGTTGTATATTTGATCAAATAAATGCAGCCTTGGTGAGCAACTTCTTTCAAAAGCTCCCCAAACTTTTAAACAGTAGTGTAGTTACGACGAAAATTATTATACATAATTCATCTAAGGTTTATTTACCCTCAAGTTTTTAGAAACATGCATGTTTTTTTTTCCTTCTGTGGAACACAAAATGTACAGAATTACGAGATTGACATGTATGTTAATACACACTGAAAGTCGTGTTAAAAGACTTGTTTACTTCTGAAAGAGATTTATTCCTGACAGACAGATCACTTGGCACTTTGTGTCATGCTTAATTGAGACATGATATAAGTCGCTTTGGATGGAAAGTGTCAGCAAATGAGCACAAATTAGTAATTAGTTTGATTTGGAGCTGTGGTTTGTGCCCTCTCCATGAAATACAACCTTGAGTGATAAGTCTTGTTACAGCAATTTCTTCACCCCCTCACAGGTACTCTTTGCATTGTGGGAAGGGAACAGTGCATTTTCTATAAGACAGTATTCTGTATTCTAGTGTGGATGTGTTTCAGGCTGTGTGGATCTGTGAAGGCTGTATGCAGTCTGTGTGTGTGGAGCCTGGACCTTGGTAACCATGTTTGACAGATGCACTCATGCGTTTGCAATTATTTACACACTGCAGACATACCGCTTTGGTCGTCCCTTAAACTTGGAGAGAGAAAGAGAGAGATAACAGCTGAAGGACAAGAGGCAAAAAATTGAAGTAGTGGATATTGATAACAATGTCATTTTTGACGACTTGTGACAAACCTTTTGTTTCTCACCCTTTCATGTTGGTGCTTCTCACTGTTTAATGGTGTAAGGCAGAAAAACCTTTAGTATTCTTTAATCAGGTGTCCTTAAAACAGCTTTAAAACCTAGACAGACATATGCACCCACATTACACAAGAGCCCGTTTTAATTCTGCTTCCTAAACCGCTCAGGTTGTCACTTTCCCTGCGGTGTCAGTGGAATGTCAGAGGAACTATTTTAGCTGAGCTAAAATCAGCTCATAGGACGTCACTTGTTGTCATGTTGAAGTGATTCTCTTTTTGTTGTTCTTGGTGTATTTATGATAATATCATTGCAGTTTTTAAAAGTGCTTTTTATTATAGTGCTTGCAAGGCAGTACTGTATTGATATTAATCAGAAGTTCTGGGTAGGGTTTGTTTAAAATGTTTAACCTCAGGTGTTAAACTATTAATTCAGCCTGAACTGCTTACAGTAGAGACTCTGACCTTTGTTTTGTAGATAATTTCAGCCTTAGGCATTCAATCTATTAAATTTATATTTAAAAAAATATATTTTTAAGGGGAAACTCTCCCATTGACCTACACAGTTGCTGAATGTTAAGCATTCAAAATCTTTACCTGAGCATAAATTTAACATTATACTTTTGCAGCTTATAAGCATTTACTTTTGGAAATGTAAATCTAGTTACATGGTATCCTAGTTACATTGTAGACAGTCACATTGGAGTCCATGTGAAACATTTACTGTCCTGTTCTTGGGCATAACCAGAGGAGCAGGATCGTCCAATAATAACTTCCATTTTTATGTACCGACACACATTGACATTGCTGAACTTTCTACCGTCCGTTACTGGAAATGAAATGAAATTACTGGTTGATATGTCCTGATCTCAATAAAGTTTACACACTCATTATTTTTGAGGGGGCACGTGTTGGGGGGTCGTCATGTGACACACAGCAGCTACAACAGCTCTTATGTTTTATTTTTTTCCCCTTTTTATTCGAAACATTCCCAAACGCATTAACTGAATTCTCATGAAATATCTTGATTCTCACCTTTATAGAGGTGATCTATAGTGGGCGATGGTCAAAGTAACCTAATAATGTAATCTATTAACTATGCATAAAAAAACCTGTCTGTTTACTTAATTAACAGATATGGGTGTCATGCCATAACATTTTTAATACGACTGGGTTTATATTTAATGTGAATTTAACATTGAAAGTTAATGTGAATAAAAACATTGCAAGTTAGGCTACTAATCATAACACTTTCGTTGTACAGAAAGAGAACAAAGAACATTTACATTATCAAAGAACATTTTTACTGACAGTGTAGTTCGAGCACTCTCAAAAACTCCCATTAAAATCACTTAAGGTGTTCACACTATGAAATTAATATCTTACAGATTCGTACACACATTTGCACTTTGTTGTTTCTGACGAGAGAATTCACCAGAAAGAGGTGTTCAGTCAGCAAGCGAGTGAAGAAAACACCGGCATTTTAGCGATGACTCATCTGAACACCTCTGATTGGTCATTGCATTCATAAGCTCAACAGCATCGTGTGTGATTGGTTATAATGCGCAGTGCTGTATAAACGCGTGTATCTGGCTCCGTGCCAGCCAGCGAACGCAGATTTGAATTTAGCAGCTGATGATATGATGCGCTGAACGTTCTAATCACATTGGTGTGATTGTATTAAATATAGAAAATGTTAATCGCTATTTTTTGTCGTTTGGAAGCTGCATTCAAAACCCACTTGGCTCAAAAATCTGAGGGGGCACGTGTCCCCTCACTTTGAATGGGCATGATGCCTCTGCTTTTGGTCCGTGAATTAGATCCATAGACTGTATAAAAACATGGAAGTAGTGTCCGTGACGTAACCCGTAGACTTCAGACGAGCGTTTTGAAGCCTAAAGTAGGCGGAGTCAGCCGTCGCCATCTTGGCAGCACGTCACCACGTGTCACTCTCGGATTAATCGAAAATGGGCAAAGAGGCGGGAGCTGTGTTGATGGTTTGATATGGCATAAAATCTGGAAATTACCTCATAAATATTTAATCACAAATAAAGTAAAAGAAATTTCTTTCAAACTCATTTATAAATATTACCCCAGTAACTTTTTCCTTGTAAACAGATTTAACTGTGATATTGATACACTATGTACATTTTGTGGTCTACATACAGAAACGTTTTTTCATTTATTTTGGAGTTGTCCTTACTCAGTCAATTTTTGGTCAAATTTCTGCTCATTTGTTAGAGATCATATCATGCCCA